CAAATACATGGTTTATTGTTTTGCAGTCAGTATTTTTAGCTTGGAGGCAGGTAGACCTGCAGAGCAAATAATACCAAAGAATACAGCCATTACAGAAGTGCTTCTGTGCTTTTAAATTATAGCCCTCTTATTCCAGAACTGAACATAGTGAGATGAGTACATTGGCAAAATAATTATTTATCACCCTTAAAAGCTTCCTTTAAAATTTTTATCATTCAAATACTGGCTGGGGAGAATGCAAAGGACAGAGAAACATATTTTAGGCGCTTGCTGGTCTAGCTTTTATTCTGATAAGAATTTACTAAACACCAGTAAAGGGAATAGCAGTTATCAGCCCTAATTCTAACTGTGATTTTTTTTTGGGCCAAACAGATGCCCCTGCAGAATGCCAGCCAAGTGTTAGTGACACCAACTAGAGCCCCAGCCCTCCTTCCACTGGAGTCACCAGTTATTTTGCAAGGCTTCAAAGGAGGGCAGGTTTGCTCCAACAACCTGAGCAAGCAGGGTGCTCTCAGAGAGACACTCCCTGCCACACTGAGTGGGACAGGGGCCTCTAACATCCCCCGCAAAAAGGAAAATAACAAAGACACAGTCCTTTGCCTCTTTTTAGTTTGATGTATTGGGTTTTTCTTTTAAACTCTTTTTCTTCAGCTGATTAAAAATAACCAGAAGCAGACCATCAGCAGACCTACATACATTAAGAAGTCTCTTTATAAAGACACTTGAAAATCTCCTCAAAATCTGTTCAGAGAATTTTGCCATCCCTTATACCTGTGCAACAGCAGAGCTTGGAGCTCTCCCAGGTAGAAAGTTTGGTGCCCATATTTAATTCTGTGCTCCCAGACCCATCAATAGGAGAGTCTGAAAGAAAGCTTAAGGGAGGTCAAGTGCTTTTTACTGAAGCAAAGCCAAAGTTCTCAGGCAAATCCATATTCTTGTCTTTAAAAGTGTTCAGTGTAAGAAAAATAAAGCCCAGGTGTAAACATTTGCAAACTGAGTTTATTTTTCTTTCCTATCTATGCACTTGGAATGAACATTGAAAGGGCAAACCCATCCTAATCCTATCATGGCAATGTTTTTCTCTGCTTCCTGAAACTGAGATTATCATCTCATTGCTTGTCAGACAGCTCCTGAGAGAAGCAATTCACTGGATTTTTCTGTGTAATCACAGCACAGGATTTTATTTCTGTTGTTATCTGGATGGAAAATGCACACAGCTTGTTCTGTGTCTTGCCCCTTTCAAGTTCCTTACAGACCTGGATGTGCCAGGCTTCAAAACACCCCAGCTGCACTAAGAAAGCTAAATCTGGGCTAACTCTAAATTGCAAGCAACTTGCTTCTTAGCAGCTCGACTCAACACTGGCAGGAAAACTTCCAGTTTTAAATTTCTATTCCAATTAAGGCAATGAAGACTGAAGTCCCCTAAACTGTTGCCACTACTTTCCAGGACATAAAATTAACGATTTCTACTGCTGTGTACAACTTTCAGTCAAAAGTTGGTCTGATTTATAAGCAAGCAGATGGTTCACACGATAGTCCACAATAAATTACAACAGTTAGAAAGACAGCTACATTTTGAGAGTGACAGTGCAGCTGAGCTACAGATGGGTTTATAGATGACCCTTCCAATTTTTAATAATCTTCATAATTTATCTGTAAGTAAAGAAATGTGAGAATTCCTAATGCAGCTCCTTGACTAAGTACAAATCACTTTTATTTACACAGGCAATACTTCATGGCCCAGCTATCTTCTTAATTAAAGGCAGCAAGATGCTCATATTCCATGCAAGGAAAAAACACTGCTCAGTGAGCAATATGTTCAGCTGGGAGTTCAGAATGCTCTGAACACTCTGGGGAAAGGGATCCCATCCATCTCCTTTCTTTAAAAGAAAGCTACAAGGGTGCAAACACTGCTACCACCCATCATTAACCTCCAGATAAACTTTAGGCTTGTAAAATGGCAACGTTCCATTTTTTTTCCATTTTGATGCTTGAAAACAGGTTCCAAATCCATACTACAAATCCAGTACTACTGAGCCAGGACTAGGATGGAAAACAGCAGGAACAGAGATCCTCTTCTCTGTATAAAACCAGAAGGGATTTGGGGGGTCACTCTTCAGTGGGTGAGGGAAAAAGGAAGCAAGTCTTGGGGGTGTCAGAGGCAGAAAGAAACTGGCTGGCAGCAGATTTAAAGTCAGTTCATGTCAGTGATTTCTCTGCCACGGGCCAAACCACATCCATCCAACCCTTCTGCTAAAATCTGGAATTTCAGCTGGAATGAGAAGCACATCTCAGTGCAGCTCCTCTGTCTGTCAAGGTGATGAAGGGAGCAGGACCCAGCAGGGCTCTTCAAGGCACAAACTACAGAAGCTCAGAGGCGCCCACCCAGCAGTCTCTAGGGATGATACTGGAGGGCTTTTCCTCCTCTCTAACCCTTGATCTTCCCTCCCAGCCAAATCCATTTGAAAAAAAATCCACTTTTAAGTGGAAATCTAAACTATCACTAAAACAGAAGGCAGAGCTCCTAGGAAAGCAAATCTGGGTGTAATTTTAATTACCAACTTCCTGGGACTCAAGAGATGCAGCAGAGAAGAGACACCAGTGACAAATTCAGGCTTTCAAGAATAATCACAATTCCCATTTTGGAGATATTTTGGCAGGGGTTTCCCAGCTCTGTGTGCAGCTCTGCAGCACATGGGGGAGCAGCACCACAGAGACACATGAGTGGGAAAAACCAGGGTACAGAGCTCATAGAACTGCAGCCACTTGCAGGAAAAGTGATTTTTCCCTGTTCTTTCCATGCAGCAGCAATGCCCTTCACCCACTACACAGAACAATACTGAAGTTAAATTTGTTGAGTTTATTAAAAAAGAGATTAATTATTCTATAAATAACCAGCATCTAAAAGTCTTTGGAGTTTATATGAAACCATTATTTATTACTGTACACAACTCTTAGGTTGTTTAATTAAGCATATGAAAAATTGTATATGTCAGATTATTTCTGGGATGCTCTTCACTATGTTATTTGTCAGATTTGTTTCTGTTACTCTTCACATACTTAAAGCTGCATTATGCACTTCTGAAAACCCAGGGAAGTTCACTCTAGAATTAGTATGGATGTTCATCTGTTACTGAGCTCTGAGTTTGGCACTTCATTTTAACAATATTCATCAGGTTCAGGAACTGCTACCACGCTTCCCTCCAAGACAACACTGGGTCATACCACTGTTCTTTAAAAAGATGGAGTGTTGATTATTTAACAATATTTTCAAATATTCTGTACTACAAACCTTTGATTGACTACAATCCTTTCATTTGCTTTCAAGGGGCCAAATTCACACACAGCACAGGAAAGCAGAAGTTGTCTGAATGCACTAAGATCTCTGCTGTTGCCCCCAGCCCAAAAACAATTCCAGGGTTACCACAAACAACCTAAAAGCCAGCACAGGCTATTCAAGTTTATTCCAAAAGTTGGAGGAACAATGAGCATGGTTTGTGTAACTATGTGGTTAACACAGTTTCCAGCTCCCCAGACTGCAGATCAGAGCTTCTGGCTGGCAGCTCACTCTCCTCCAGCTAACAGCAAAAATAATCCTGGAAGGGGATAAAGCAAGGAGGGAACACACACAGGCCTTACCTTACACTTCTTGTTCCTTGCACTCAGTAATCTGTCAATGGTGTGTGGAAATTACCTCCACAGCCCCAGGAAAGGGACACCTTTTGCACCCCTGATGTATTAAAATGTAGATCAATATGATAATATGAAAACAGTAAACTCCCCAGGAGCAAGAAGTAGTTCTCACTTCTCTTAGCAATCAAATATTATTTCCATCAACGTAACTAGAGAAAAAGAAATGTAGGTAGTGATTTGTCAGCCTATTTATCAAACCAACTGCTGCACCTGGTTCCCACATATTTTGTATTAAAAGGTGAATGACATGTAAGGTTTTACAGGTTCTGTTTTAATTCAGGGCTGAAAGCATTTATAGATATGAAGGTTTTCTTATTAAGTTTTCTTCCTGAATGATTATGCTTGTTCAAATGAATTCCTAGCCATCTTACAGAGGTTACAACCTTCAATAATTAAATGGGGTATGGTATTGGCTGTTTTGTTCATTATGCTCCAAGTTCCAATTTCTGCAAGAGCACTGAAATGCTCAGATAAAAGGATGCTAAGTTTATTTAATTAGCTATCTGCCATTGTTATCAAAAGGGAAGGTTGGTATGTGACTGTAAATTAACACTTTAGATCAGGAAACAAGACAGATGATATCTTCTGACACAGATCCTGGAAACTCTGTAATTGTTCCAGTTATTTTAAAGCTGCTCAGGACATACAGGATTGCATTAGAAAGACCAAAAGTCACCAACAGTCAACAAAGTGCTGCTATGAAAATGTTATTTCAATCACACTTGGGTTCTTTCTCATTTCCAGTAGTTAACATTCTTGCCACTTTTGTCAAGCAGTCTCTCTTAGCAGCATTGAATTTTAACTACACATATTTTTAAACCAACATGAAATAGGATTGAGGACATAATATGGGTTCATTGTGCTAATGAACAACAGATCAGGCCCTTGTGCCAAAGCACCACCTCTCTGCTATCCAGGTAAGCTGTAACTGGTTAAAAGCTGTAACTGGTTAGAAGTGAGCTGCATCCCAGAGCTGCCAGCCATCCCTCTGCCTCAGAAAGAACAGCCCCTCCTGTTGAGGGTTGTTTAGGATTTACCTCAAAAGAAATCAAAGACAGTGTGAAACTTCAGAGGTCCTGAAGAGTTTTAACTGTGACTTACAAAAAACAGAGCCACGGTATCAGCTTTGGAACTGCTCAGAGGATGCAGTGTCTGGATGAAGCCCTCAAAGCCTCACTCCCAACTGCATCTGTATAGGGAGGCCAAAGGCCAAAGCAATTTATCCAGTAGCCATGTCACCCTGCCACTTCATGGTTTCTTTCTGTAAGGGCTACAGAAACAAACTTATTCCTTTCCCAAAAACTTACTGGTCTTGATCGGATTTCTTTGGCGTAGAGAGGTTTCAAGAATTCTGAATCTCCTTCAAGCTTCAGACCCTTTTCTGTGATCCTCAGGTTCCCCATTCCATCCTGAAAGACAGGCAAAAAGAAACAACCCTATTAGTTACAATTACTAAATTCACCAGCTGCCAATAGCTGATTTTTCCCATTGAAGATAACATGTGTAGCACTGGGAGGCACTAGAGAATGCAATTACTTGTGTTAACCTTGTAGCTCAGTTTCTGTGGGAAAAAAAAAATTCTATTCAGAACTATCTGCAATGCCCCCCAGTAAACCATTTACACAGATGAAAGATGTTCCTTTAAGCAAAGTCATTCTCTACTCACACAGAGGCAGTGATGCTCTGTGTTAACAGGAAACTATTCACTGTAATATTCACTGCCTGCCTTTATAATATAATAATATACCTGCTCATTCATAGCAAATCCCTGTAAAGATTGTGTGATTAATATCTGTACAGATACACTCACACAGAGGAGAACTGTACCAAAATATATTTCACCTCTGACACATGAAAGTTCTAACTTTTATTAAGATGAGGGATTTAGCTTCACTTAGGCTATAATTGCTTACAAATGGTATGCAAGAAACAGGTACATCTATAATCAAAACCACATCAAATGGAAGGTATTATTTCCAAGATTCAGGGTGATTGTCAAAGTTTGCAAGGACTGAGGTAAACTGTTTTGTTCTGAGAAAAAGATGGTTTGAAGAATATCTTTTAGCAGAAAACTGACTGAAATCACCATGACTGGAAGTAAAACTAGCACCTTCACGCCTAACTCACGGCTGTTTTGGGGATTTTATAGGAAAGGGGAATGCACTTGGGTAGAAGGCCTAAGAAGATCAAGAAGAAACCAGGAAAATCCAGGAGAACCACATGTATTTGGATACGCATCTAGCACGCTTTCCAATCCAGACACAAAAACGAAACCCCACCTGTCTACTTCCTCCTCCTCCCACTGTGAGAGCACCTCCAGCCCCAGATGAGGAATCCGTGTCTCTTCAAGAGAGTGGAGATCTAACCCAGACAGATTTCCATGAACTGCTGCCAAAGGCCTGAATGTGGAGGGATGAAAATCAGAGACATCGCGCGGCTCAGCAGCAGCGCTGGTCACCTGCCAGAGGTTCTCCCTTTCCAAGAAGAGCCATTCCCAGGTAGTTCCCTGCCAAGTTAAGACTGTTCTTGCCAGATCCTGGTGTCTCATGAACAAAGGTGATGCTGGTTGATAAAGTGACCGCTGTCATCTCATTTAGAACTCAAGGCTGTGAGCGAATTTGAGAGGCAGATGCTGGAAATGCTACTGAGATGGGTCATAAAATGCCACTCCCCACATTTGTTTGCCCTAGGTGTAAAATATTGGCCTATGAATTCTGGGTTGGTGGTGGCACAGAAGGGGTTCATTTATCTCAAGCAGAAGTATGGAGGAAAATGAGTGAAATATGATTATTCACCAAAAACCCAGATTAAATTTTGATAGCAGTGTGCTTTGTGATTTGAGCGAGCAGGAATTACTACAGCTATCTACAGACCCTCACACGGTTTGGGCTGCTAAAAAATCTCTACAGTTTTTTTTTTTTTTTCCCAAAATAGATTATCTCAGTAAGGTTACAAGCCCTGAGGGCTTTCACATAGCACTGTCTTCTCTGGTTTTAATAAGAAAGTTGCAGGTCAGGCAAGCTGCTCTGTGCCCCAGCCAGCTGCAGGAAACACCAGCTCCATGGATGTGCACTGCTGACCCCTCCAGGGCTAGCTCCTCAATTGCCTGAATGGGGCAATACTTTTCCAGAACATGGACCTAGGGATAAAAAGGGAATTGTCAAGCCACCACTGAAGCTGTGGCAAACCAGCAATTTCAATGACTCACAACCCTGTTCTGTTGTAATGACACACATCCAGAAACCCACTCCTCCCTTCTCTTGTGTGTTTCTCTTTCTCTGCTTCACCATCTGACTCCCAGGTGTGGTCCAAAGGATTTTTACATATAAAAACCATGCATAAGGGGAGTTTAGCTGACAGCCAGCAGGTTCTACACACTCTAAAAGAAGTATCAGGCCTATGGGACAATGTACTACAACCAAAACATCAAGGACACATTTGATTAATCAAAGTTGTTGAATCCTCTTACAAACCAACTGGATTGGACAGAAAGAGACATTTTTCCGTGCTTTTTTCTCAATCTTAGATCCTTCTCAACCTCCACTCCACACTCACCTCTCCCTCCTCTGCATCTGCCAGAAGCAATAAAAGCTGTGCCCACCACAAATCCTCTCTTGACTTCCAGGTGTTTGGGAGTGGATCAATGCTTAGCACTGACTTACTACGATTAACTCCCCACTGCTCATGTTTCTCATGATTAAAGCTGACAGTTTTTTGTGGTGACAGCCTGCCTCAGCAGGTGACAAAACAAGCAAAGGTTGCACCCTGAATTTAACAAATATCTTGGCCTGTTATCATACAATCACTATAAAATTATATTCCTCTGTTATTTCCCATTAGGAAAAAAATAAAGATGCTCACAGGATTATATAGAGGTCCCAAAATACAGATACATTAGAGAGAAATCATAGTTGGAAAGACTACTTCACATGTTGTATTGGATAAAGTATCTTCATCCTCCCTAAATTATATGGTTTAATAACAAATAAATGTCATATTCTGCTACAGAGAATAGATATGAAAGTTCCTATGAAATTTCATGGACTGTGACCTATAAAATGTAGCAGAAAACTGCCTAGAGTGACAAAGACCAAGATGTTTTATTAAACATTGCATCTGTGACTGGTATATATCCTTATCTGCCACTCTTCTGCTTGTGAATAAGGAGAAGTATTGATTATTTCATACTCTGCCATCTGAAAATCATTGTTTCTCTCCTTTTTACTAATAGACTCCTCAGCAGAGTGAATGACTATAGTGCAGGCACAAGCCTGGTTTGTGGGAGCTCCCAGGAGGCAAGCTCCAAACAGGAGGCACAGAGTTCCTCCTTCACCACCTGCAGTGAATCTTCCTGCTTTTTGGGAGGGCATGGCAAAAATTTTCACATCAATTACATCATTTATGCCCTCTCTCTTTTTATGCAGTGCCTTGTACTGGACAGGCATAAAAATTTATGTGCTATTGCTGACTGCTCTGGGTTGAAAGGGGATAGCAATCCTGAATAACATAAATGTCATTTTGGTGATGCTGAATGAGAAAGGGATTTTGGATTTTAGTAGCTTGAGAAGCATCTCATTTTTACAGCCAATTATGAATGGTGGTATTACTGCTAGGGGAAGAGCTCAGCATGGATGGTGTCTGATCACCAAAGCTCCTCTCTGCTTTTTTGTTAGCAATGTGGCCACACAAGTGGTTAAAACCCACCCTGTGTTTGTTTTATTTTACTTTTTAACAATTTCAGTTACTTTAATTTTACTTTATTTATATATATTTTTAATTGCAAGGCTGGTAGCAGAAAGATTCTGTTAGCAGCTAACAGAATAAGAAAACAATAGCCACCCTAACCAGAGACATGATAAAGGCTTAAAACTGAGAGTAGGTTTAGATGAGATATTAGGAAGAAATTCTTCCCTGAGGGAGTGCTGAGGCCCTGGCACAGGGTGCCCAGAGCAGCTTTGGCTGCCCCATCCCTGGAAGAATTCCAGGCCAGGCTGGATGGAGCTTGGAGCAACCTGGGATAGTGAGAGGTGTCCCCGCCCATGGAAGAGGATGTGGAACTGGATGCTCTTTGAGGTCCCTCCCAACCCAAACTTTTCTATAATTCTACAATAAATACCTGGGATTGGTTCTGGCTGATTCCACACAGGGGCAGGGGGAATTCTCAGTGCTGTCTCATTCATGGGCAGCTTTATGAGACCAGCTGGGCTCACACTGCAGCGTAACCTACTCAAGAACCAAGGTGACAATGACACACATTCACTGTGTCCCCTGGGCCAGAATCCTTTGTCCTTTACAAACATGAAATGCAGCCTCAAACTCTTCTGTGCTTTCCTCTGTTCTCCTGGCATTGCTGAACAAATTTCCTCTTTATTGAGGTCTTTCTAAGGATTTTAAGGACACTGGTGACGGGTGACAGATTGCACCAGCTCTGCTGGCCACCACCAGCTCCAGTGGTTGTTCCCACTGGGTTTCCCTGCACCTCCATCCCTTTCCAGTTTTCAGGAGAAGAATGGTTGGCAAGGTTTGCCTCTGCACAGCAGGCAAGCATTTATTTTTTTGCTAGGAATAAACTGAAGTTATGTTCAGCAATGTCCTGTGGGAGAGAATTATCTTTGGAGACTGCTTGTGTCAGATGGCTGAAACACCTGATTATCGTTGCTTGTATTATTGATTGCTGTGCTCTGCATTGCTTCCAGATATGTGCAAGTTATTACACAGCTCAATACATCCAAAGTTAGGAAAAAAACCCTCAGCAAAGGCAAGTGACCTCATTTTTTTTCCCCTCCTGGGACGATATCCGTGCTGTCCTTTTCTCTCTGACTTGATATTAAATGTTTCCAGATTCCAGGTAAAGAACACATCACTGCCAGTTCTTCACAGCCTCAAACTTGTTCTAATTGCATCAGCCCTCCCTCATTCTCCTCATTTTCTTCAGCTAATTCATCATCTTAATAAGGATCCCAGCATCCAGCTGTGGATCAGCAGCAATATTTTCCTATGGAAGCCACCTACCAGCAGCACCAGTCCTACAAATTAAATCTGGTCCAGAGCAAGACAGGTAAGGAGATAATGTGTGAAAACTTCTTCCTCTGGCATAAGACCTTGCTTTGAGACCTCATGTACAGACTCAAGTTTGTGTGGACAGCAGAGAAAACCAAGGCAATGTAGCATTACACAACACATACAACCATATCCCTGTGTGCAACAGATCCAGGATTGTGCTGTGAATTGCACTGTGAGGTCTCATGTCCATGACTGCCATCACCTCCCTCCCTCTCCCTCTGCTTCCTGACCTCAGATGTCCCTGTCTGATGCCTTACTGGCAGCATTTGCCTCTAAAGGTGATAGGCACAGGGCAGGAAAAACTGTGCTGAGACTTCAGGGCGTGAAGGGAGGTGACCCCAAGTGC